GCTTTCTTATACACTAACAATGCAACTGTAGAAAGAGAAATTAGAGAAACAATTCCATTTACAATAGCACCAAAAAACCATAAGATACCTCAGAATAAACCTAACCAAAGAGGAAAGGATCTATACTCTAGGAACTACTGAACATTCATGAAAGAAATTGAAGAAGACACAAAAAGATGGAAAAATATTCCATGCTCATGGATTGGAAGAATAAACATTGTTAAAATGTCTATGTTACCCAGAGCAATCTATACCTTCAGTGTCATCCCGATCAAAATTCCAATGACATTTTTCAAAGTGCTGGAACAAACAATCCTAAAATTTGTATGGAATCAGAAAAGACCCCGAATCACCAAGGAAATGTTGAAAAAGAAAAACAAAGCTGGGGGCATCACGTTGCCCAATTTCAAGCTATATTACAAAGCTATGATCACCAAGACAGCATGGTACTGGCACAAAAACAGACATATAGACCAATGGAACAGAATAGAGAACCCAGATATGGACCCTCAACTCTATGGTCAAATAATCCTTGACAAAGCAAGAAAAAACATGCAATGGAAAAAAGACTGTCTCTTCAATAAATGGTGCTGGAAAAATTGGACAGCCACATGCAGAAGAATGAAACTTGACCATTTTCTAACACATACACAAAGATAAACTCAAAATGGATGAAAGACTTCAGTGTGAGACAGGAATCCATCAAAATCTTAGAGGAGAACATAGGCAGTAACCTCTTTGATATCAGCCACAGCAACTTCTTTCAAGATACATCTCCAAAAGCTAGCGAAACAAAAGCAAAAATGAACTTTTGGGACTTCATCAAGATAAAAAGCTTCTGCACAGCAAAGGAAAGAGTCAACAAAACAAAGAGGCAACCCACAGAATGGGAGAAGATATTTGCAAATGACACTACAGATAAAGGGCTGGTATCCAAGACCTATAAAGAACTTCTCAAACTCAACACCCAAAAAACAAATAATCAAGTCAAAAAATGGGCAGAAGATATGAAAAGACACTTCTCTGAAAAAGACATACAAATGGCTAACAGACACATGAAAAAATGTTCATCATCATTAGCCATCAAGGAAATTCAAATCAAAACCACATTGAGATACCACCTTACACCAGTTAGAATGGCAAAAATGGACAGGGAAAGAAACAACAAATGTTGGAGAGGTTGTGGAGAAAGGGGCACCCTCTTACACTGTTGGTGGGAATGCAAGTTGGTACAGCAACTTTGGAAAACAGTGTGGAGGTTCCTCAAAGAGTTAAAAATAGAGCTACCCTATGATCCAGCAATTGCACTACTGGGTATTTACCCCAAAGACACAGATGTAGTGAAAAGAGAGGCCATATGCACCCCAATGTTCATAGCAGCAATGTCCGCAATAGCCAAACTGTGGAAAGAGCCGAGATGCCCTTCAACAGACGAATGGATAAAGAAGATGTGGCCCATATATACAATGGACTATTACTCAGCCATCAGAAAGGATGAATACCCAACTTTTACATCAACATGGATGGGACTGGAGGAGATTATGCTGAGTGAAATACGTCAAGCAGAGAAAGACAATTATCATATGGTTTCACTTATTTGTGGAACATAAGGAATAGCATGGAGGACATTAGGAGAAGGAAGAAAAAATGAAGGGGGAGATATCAGAGAGGGAGATGAACCATGAGAGACTATGGACTCTGAGAAACAGAGGGTTTTAGAGGGGAGGGGGGTGGGGGGATGGATTAGCCTGGTGATGGGTATTAAGGAGGGCACGTATTGCATGGAGCACTGGGTGTTATACGCAAACAATGAATCATGGAACACTACATCAAAAACTAATGATGTACTGTATGGTGGCTAACATAACATAATAAAAAAAAATTTAAAAATGTCTCTCTAGTAAGGGGAAAAAAAAAAAGCCTGACTTGGAATTGGTGTGACCTCTGATGGCCATGTGGATGTGATTTCATAGACAGGAATTCAAGCTTTAAAATTACAAGAGTCTATAATTTAGAAAGTTCCATTACATAACAAATTACACTTGGCTGTCCACCTGGAAATTAGTCTGGGACGGGCTGGGGCTGCTCTGGAAGGGCGTGTGGACCTGGCTCCCGTTGCTGCCAATTGTTGCCAAAACACTACAATGAGCTGTGGGAAGAGCAACAGTCAGCACTGGTCAGTGTGAAAAGCCAAAACAGAGAACTTAGAGAGGATTCTAAGTGAACTCTGGGTTCCCAGAGCCTCTGAAGAAAGATCATATAAAAGTCTAAGAAAGAGAATCCCTGGTAGATATCCTGATAAGCCTAACACTCCAGAGAGGATCAATTTCCAAACAACTGTGTGTCCCTGTGCTGGGAAAATTATTCTGTCTGGAAAATCATCTCCAGTGATCACCCTACAACTTCTTGTCACCAGCTTTCAGTGCGCATCCCCTGCTCCCAACTCAATGGCGGAAGACCTCCGAATGGATTTCACGGGAGTGAGAGAGCATGTCAGTACAGCTGGGGCTCAAATAACAAGTTCCCTGGCATCTGGTTCCTTTCCTGGATGCCGGGACCATACAGCTAATTTCTGGAGAGAAAACTCCAGAATGCTCCAGATTGCTCCAGATTGGTGACCTATTCTGCTTTGTTCCTTCAAATTCTGTAGATTTCAGAGATGTTAACTATTTGCCTGGGCTGGTCTCCTATTTTTTCCTGAAATCTACTTCTCTTTGATTTCTATTAGCTTATTTAGCATTTAACCCATTGTTACCCTGATCATATCCTTTCATGAGCTCCCACTTTCCCTTTTCTTTCTTTCTCACATCCCTTGACCTGACCCTTGCTCACAGCACAGCCTGGCATCGAGAACATTGACCTTTCACCCATGCTTGGTGACCAGCCTGTTTCCTGTTTTTATCTGCAAGTGCATGACTCTGCATGCATCATGGACAGTGACTGTGCCCATTCTGAAATAAATGCCACGCCCTGCAGCCCTTGGGGCAGGAAACCACAATGAATTTTTAATTCCCAGTTGTGTCTCTGGTAATTAAGAAATAATCTGCCTCGCTTCTGCCTACTGCTTGGTACTGTCCCTGGGTATGGCTATCTTTCCTAAAGTCATTATCCTCAGGGAGTGAGTATGGGTGAGCAATATCAACAATGAGATTCTGATCACATTCTGACACGACTAATTAGATTCTCTCAGACAAAATCACTCCATGTCTAGATGGACTTAATTTTCTCCTAATTCCCTGTGCCATTTACTGCATTTTATGCGAGGTCAATGCACACTTACATTTTTCCTTTAAGTTCTGTCAGTCCCCTGGTTGCTAAATGTACCTGCTTCCAGTTTTGTTCAGAAATCCAAACCAGAAAATTCAAATACCCAGACTTCTTTGTAGCCTCTCTAATGATGGTTGATGTTAATCATAATAAATCAAAAGCACTATGAGATCCTAAGGTGTTCTATGAATCATCTAAGAAAGAGAAAAGCACTTTCTGACCCTTTTCAGTGATGAAATTATGATCCTGTTGGCTCATTCATTTAATGAATGCCTACTGTGTGCAAGGCATATGGTAGCATCTTGGGGGCTGACAGATGTATCTGTCATAGATAATATATTCAAGAAACTTGTGATTAATTTTTAAGATAAAGTAGATGAAAATGATAATGACTGACAGGAGAAAGTCATTTCCCAAGACAGGCAGAGATCAAGGATGCTCAATTTCAGAAGAAAAAAATATAGGTTAAAAAAGGGGGTGAGGAAGAAAGACTTTCCTAAGAAGAGGGAATTGACCTGAGTCTTTAAGAATGGGCAGGATTTGGGGGCGGCCTGGGTGGCTCAGTTGGTTAGGCGACTGCCTTCGGCTCAGGTTATGATCCTGGAGTCCCAGGATCGAGTCCCGCATCGGGCTCCCTGCTCGGCAGGGAGTCTGCTTCTCCCTCACCCTCCTCCCTCTCATGGTCTCTGTCTCTCATTCTCTCTCTCTCAAATAAATAAAATCTTTAAAAAAAAAAAAAGAATGGGCAGGATTTGAATATGCAGAAACAGGCTAGAAGGGCATCCTATGTGGAGGGAACAGCAAGCATGAGGAAAGTCAGGGTGTTTATGAAGAAGAGTGTGAGTGGCACAGAGGGTAGAGAAACAGGGGTGAAAATAGATATGTGGAAATGATCATGAACAACCTTGAATGACAGCTTTATCCCATCGGTTATGGGAGTCATTGAAGGTTTTGAGCTGGGGAGAAATGAGTTACTCTTCAAGAAGATTAACTTGAAGAGAGACTAGAAGGAACAGGATTAAAAAAAAAAAAAACTGATGCCATCATCCACAGAAGATGAACTTTCATTCTCTGATGATTGGATTATATGGCAATACCCAGTTAATCAGAACACTGGAAACTGAATCCACCTATCTCCAGCGACTCTGGACAAAGGGAAATTGGCTGTAATATGTGAAGTGTGGGGTGGTAAAAGGTCACATGTCCTGCAGTATAACATCCTTTAGTTAGCTTGAGATGTGAGTCTAAGTATCACAATGAATTAAACTCCAAGTTATAAAAACCTCCACCTTTCACATTCTGATTCACTTTAAACAATTATTTGGTCACCAGCTATGAAAAGATGACATTTCATTAAGCAGGAGAGACTTAAAATGCTAAGCAAGGTAGATGAACCCAGGAAAGAGCCTCATGACAGTTACAATTCAGAGATATGTTTAGCTATTGTTGCTGTCATCGAGAATAGCATCCCACACAGCACAGAAACAGGAGGAGCTCAGCTGCAACCATGACCAACTTAACTCTGGGCTTTCTCTATCTGGCCCATGTGCTGAAACAGCTTGAGGAATGGAAGCGTTTTTAATAAAAGTAATACATGACTGAATAAAGATATCATAGCAAAACTGTTGTTATTTAAAACAGTTTAGCACTTTATATTCATTATATTTTGATTAGCATTTCTGATAATTATTTTTCTTTTCCTTTTTTTTTTTTTTTTTTTTTTACATTCCCTATCCCATTCCTCCTCTGCTCAGCATGTTGCTGTCTGTGCCGAACAATTTTCAAGATTACGCCCTGAGGTGTCAATTCCTTTCTTCTAGTAGATTCCCCAACTAACTAGTTAATCTCCTGCACTCTCATTATTTTCTCCCTTAATGACGATATGTAGTAACATTCCCTGGAGACAATCCTACCAGCATTTATATTTCTTCCAAATTAGAAGAGTAGGCATCTCTCCAGATCATAAAGAATACATTTACTTTAAGGTACAGTGGAGAGAACACACACAAATTAAAGTTTGCTTAATGAAAGCCTGAGTAGTTTGCAGAAACTGTATCTTGTGCAGCTTCATGTCATCTCCAGTCTTTCTAGCCTGGTGCTCTGGTTTAATATTCCCATAATCCAGCCCTTAGGTTGGATAAATATGGGAATATAATATTCCCATAATCCAGCCCTTAGGTCCCATAAACCAGCATTAGGTTACAAAACAACTTGGGATTTCAGGACCAGAGAAAACTCCAGACACATCTGATCTCTGGCTGTAAAGTTCTGTACCTCTCTCCTGTGTTCTGCCTTGAGGATGCTTTCTCTTGGCCTATCCTTTTCCCTCTCTGTGAGGCCATCCTTTTGTTGTTTTAATCCCTGCATCATTGCCTCTTTGCCCTTCTCTTGTCTTTAAGCTCCTGGGTGTTTTTCTGTGTCCTCTGATCAGAAGCTTTGAGCTCAGTGACTCTGGTCAAGTGCCCACATTTCCAAGGATTATGAAACCCCTAGTCTGGATTCACTATGGACATCGCTAAGTGTATTCCCCCAAGCACAAGAGTTTGGCACTTCTATTCCAATAGGGACTGTGGTGACTCGTCCCCTTATGTGTCAAGTGCCATGTGACTCCTTACATAAGTGAGCTCAATCACTTTTTCTTATCAATCCTGTGAAGTCCATGTCATGGAAAAGGAAAATCATTGTACCTGCTAGTTAGTTTTAGAATTAGAATTCACCTCTTCCAAAATGTGCTGCTTTTCCTAGTCTGATCCAAATGTTTATCTGTGGATGTTTATAAACCTTCTATTGGAGCCTCTAAGGGTTAAATGGCTCATTCAGGCATTTGAGAGAGAGGCCAGGGATTATTAGATTTACCATTAAATTGAGGGGACATCAGTCTATTTCAAGTATAGGGAGTATTTATTACTAAAAAAGCTAGAGCTTTAAAAGGTACAGTGGGGGGAGTCAGTGTTTTGGTAGTAGAATAGAACATCTATTAGTTGGGTGAGGGTCCTTTGACTTCAAGCAAGAGAAACAGATTCTTCCTACCTCAAGTTTAAAAAGAAGACATCCTGGAAGAATGAGTAGTAGCTCTCAAAATTGAAGAAATGCATAATTATGCCAAACAGAATCAAGAAGGGTAGGGGCCAGGGCAGCCCTGGGAATCCATGTAAGAGGAGCCAATTGATGGTCTTGTCAGGATAAATTAGTTCCAACTGTTTTTTCCATCTACTAATGATTCCAAGTTTCAGGAGACAGACCAGTTGAAGCATCATGACTGATAGCCCCACCAACAAACATAATTGCAAAGCACTTTGAGAATATCAAACCAGCTATCCCTTTATCTTTCCAGGTAGTTAAAGTGCAGTTGTTTTCCATTTTATACAACCCTGGGGCCTCAGCCCACTCTAGAAGATTCCTTCTCTACTACCACCCAGAAGAGCAAACACTTTCTTACCTCTGTTAGCCCATGAAATTTTTCCTCCCATCCACTCCTTTACCTTCCAAACTTGGTGATGCCCAATTTCTAACCAAGTATTGGCCACAACAATTTAAAAAAATATATGAATCGATTTTTGTATTGTTTCTAAGTTAGTGTCACCATGACTGCATCAGAGCAAGTGGCAAAGGGAGGAATGCAAGTTTTAAGAAGTACATGCTGAGTACCGAATATATGCAAGCCCATATTCCCAGTGGACTAAAATACTTCCCCCTTTATCCTCCTCCCCTTCCTCCTCATTCTCACCTTTCATCCCAGACAGGATCTTAGTGTGTTAGTCCCTGCAGCCAAACACTGGTCTGACCTAGTCTTTTGATCACTCTAATTTCTCTGCAGTCAAAGAAACATGGCCTGAGTCTGATTACCTCACACTCATCAAGAAAAAAAAAAAAAGATAATCTTAAAAAGAAGTCATATTTACATTAAATGCACTGTTGAGTGACACATGGCCTTCTTCTTTTCTTTGATTCTTGTTCTCTCACGGCCTCTTCACTCCTATGGGAGCATTTTCTTCCATTTCCTTCTTTCATTTGTTCCCTGTCTCTTTTGTACCCTCTCTTTCCTTCTTTCTTTCCCTCTTTATTCTTTTGGAGTCTTTCCCTTTTTCTCCTTCCTATTCAGATAAAAACTGAAGTACAGAAAGCCATTGTCTGAAGCTGGTGAGATCAGCCCTCCCACCAAGGGTCAGACTTTCCTCCTTCCCTTGACTCCACACCCTTTCCAGGCTCCAGTGGACCCACCATCTACAGATTTTCACCCTTATAGCTGGCTTCTTCACTGAACCAATTTTCTTCATATGTCACCAGGGAAATAAAACCTACAGTGAAAATGATAGTATTGGTTTCCTGTTTTACATTACTGGTAATAAAAATCACAGAACTTCTCCTCAGAGAAAGAACCCTGGCATGCTAGGACCACAAACAACATTGGAAAGGGGAAAGCCACATCACCTCTCCCTGGAATAACAGAAGCCACGGACCAGTTTGAACCTGAGCTCATTCTAGATATTCCTAGGCTCAGAATAATTTGTATGGGTTGAGGTGGAGGCAGCAGAGGAAAATAAAAATCTGCTGAAAATGTTCTTTTCTTCAAAACCCAGGAGACTCCCTGAAGTGATCTTAACAGGAGAAACTCCCAAGTGGGAGGAGAGGAACTGTTTAGACCCCTTAAACAATGTATTAAGATGGGAGTCAAAATGGAACATAGGTGAAATTGATGCATGCAGATGGAAAAGGAATGTTTGGAAATCAGCTCACACCACTAACTTGTTATGTGATCTTGACCTTGTCACTTAACCTTGCTGGACCTCATTTTCACTGTTCATAAAAATGAAGAAGAAAATGTTGAGATTGCTGATTTCTAACATTTCTAGCTCCAAAAATCTACCGTTCTAATCAAGACTGGAAGACTGTAGCTAAAGCTAAAGCTATTTAGAGAGGTTTTCTCTATAACCCACTTGGGGAGTGATAGGTAATTACCAACATGAAACCTCAGCAATTGTCTTGCTCCTTCTCAGAATTTTCTGGCTTCTCTATGATTCAAAGAGGTAATGTGCTTGGGCTTGTAGGTGACCTGTTGATTCTGGCTTTCCCCTTTCCTACCTTGTAATCCAACCAAGACACTGAGGAAAGAGCTAACTAGACAATTGTAAGCATCAAAGAGAACAGGTAGAATAGCATGTATCAATGGTCCCAGGTGGAGACTGCCAGGAGCACTCTGCACAGGACGCAGTGGGCCTGCTGGAAAAAAAAGAATAACAAAGAATTTAAAAACTGACAAAATATTCAGCCTCAGGAACAAGAGGAAAGTTAGAGGCAACCTTCCCCTCTTAGTGGGAAGACTTTCTGAGAATGAGTTGAGATTCTGTGATGGTTATTTTCCTATTTGCTCTCAGATTGGTCCCCTGACTTTCTCCAGCAAAATGTATTTCCCAGGCTCCCTTGCCAAGTGTCTTCTCACCAGGCTCAGCTCATGAAAGACACTACCAGGAGACTGGAGCATAGGAGGAAAACAGAAGACAGGGGATTTCACCGCCCCCCGCCCCTGCCCCTCTGCTTCAGGGTTGGGACACAGCCTCATCAAGGGCTGGGACTGTTCAGGGATCCACACTCCCATGGCAGGTCTGCCTCTTGGGCTCTATCAGTACTACTTAATCCCCTAGGAATGGTTGCAGATTGTTAATGTTGCTAATCTCTTGAGTTGTCTCACTCTCCCCACATTGACTTTTCAGCTCTTCTAGCACCTTGGATATGTGCTTCCCTATGACAGTTCTTCTGTTGGACTACTTGACCTGGGCTTTCTCTTCCTAACCACACCCTGGTGCAGATACCTGATTCTGACCATGTGCCAACACTGATGTACTGCCTGTGTGCAGGAATACTTTGGGTACAACTCTAATACTGCAGTTCCAGGGACACTGTCTCAAAAAGCCCTCCCCACCTTGATAAGAGCAAGATGGTCAGTTCAGTGGCTCAGTGGTGATAAAGTCAACAATGACAGTGACAAGGACAGGTGGGCCAGCATTGGTGCCTCCATAAGTGGCACACCAAGCCCACATGGTGGAACAGAGAAATCGCATTAATGACTGTTGCAGAAGAACTTTAAAGTCTGCCTCTGACTGTGTGTGATCTGGACAAATCTACCTGGGAAAGGGAAGGAACTTGAGAGGTTCTATCGGTCCAGAAACAAATATTATCATTACCACTGCAATTATTCCCACAATCCTTGGTTGTTCTCACTCACAGTTCTGTTTCCTAGGGGAGAAAGGATGTAAACAATAATTTGCACAGCACTTTTAAGCTTTGATATCATTTGATACTCACATCTTAGATGAAGAATTTTGATATTCTAAAAACTACAAGCTTATTATGTTACTAATGTACTTACATTACAATATTAATTAGTAGCACAGATTAAACCAAAATCCAAGTTTTCTGACCCCAATTTCTGGGCATTATGAAAAGCATATGGCTAGTGGCAGTGAGAGATGCCAGTAGCTTGCCAAAAGCATACACAGAGAAGGTGGAGCTGCTGGGAGCAAAGCTCAACCTATATATATGTGTACCGTAATAACTACCATACTAAATGTGTATTTAGATGTTTATATCTCTGTCTAGATTATAAGCTAGGAAGCAGGACCAAGTAAGAGTCCACTCTAACTCCAGTGTCTGTCAGACTTAAGGTCTAGAAAGTGCCCAAAAACCATTTGTTGGTTGAACAGATGAATGAGGACAAAGAGAGCCACTGACCAGGCCAAAACAAATATTGATGGATTTGGAAATCAGGATCTGATAATAGAGTCAATCATATAAGAGGATTATGTGAAATAAATGGCTTCCTACATATCTTAAGATGTGGAAAGTGTCTTAGGATCCCACTTAATATTTTCTCATAGACCTAGAATTCAACCCTAAGAGATCCATTCCTTTGGTCTTTGAGAGTCTGTATGGCAAAGTAAGTTATCTTTGACACTGTGGAATAATGATAGCTTGATTTAAAAAAAAGAAAAAAGGAAAAGAGAGTGGATCTCTGAGCAGTCCTACTTCTGGGTATTTGCCCTTTAGATACACCTGCACACATGTGAAATGATGTATGTACATGGTTTGTGCAACAATTTTTTAACAGCAAACACTCCAAGTGTCCATCTATTGGGAGTTGTAAGCAAACTGCAAGGTTTTCTATGCATTTATAAAGCAAGAGATTTAAAGCAAGATTCTTAAAGCAAGAATCAAGACGCTCTTTATTTATTGATATAGAGTCATCTCTGGGGTATATTGTGAAGGGAAAAAAGCAAGATGGACACTGTATATAATGTAATTTTGTGGAAGAAAAAGGAAGTAATAAAAAGGAATATTCTTATCTGCTTTGTTTACATAAAATAGCCCTAGAAGAATACAAAAGAAACCAATACAAAAGCTTACTGGCAGGAAACAGGAGTGGAGGAAATGATCTGAATGGAACGTGGTGAAAACAAAATTTCTGGGACATCATGGGAGCAAGACTTCTTAACATACATCTACTGAAATTGTTTTGGTTTTTGAATATTGGAATGTATTAACTAATCAAAATTTCAATTTAATGTAATTTAATTTAAAGAGAAGATCCCATCAAGGAAACGGGAAGACACTGAGGACAAGCTATAGCGCTCTCAGACTTCTTCCTTCCTCAGTCCTCCAAAAATATATGATAACCACTGAGCCCTACAGGTGTTTCACTTTTACCCTACTATAGCACTTGCTTAATCTGCCTGATGCTGGAATTATTGCACCCACTTCAACTATTTTTGGGTCTTCCTCAGTCCCTAGATTGTTAATCCCTAGAGAGCAGAGTCCATGACCGACTCCTTTTTTTCAACTTTGTGGTTTCAGGCATATAAAAGAACTTTTAAAATAAATAAATCTTTGTTAAATGGAATTGAATTTTTCCTACTGCCAAATCTAATTCTGCCTTCAAAATCCTGAGCATGAGCCAGAGATTTCTCCTTCCTTCTCCTCAAAAAGCATTTTTAGAATTCATTTAGTAAGGGCACACTTGCTGGTTTCAGAAATGGCTTTCACAGTCCCCTAAAGTGAAAGGGGAGCTCTTTCCACTCACTATCAAGCAGTAGTGGTAGGGGGCTGGCACTGGTTAGGAATATGAGTAGATTAGTTGTTGGTAATGCTGCTACAACTGCCTACCTGATTAGGCTGATTTGCTAAAACCTCAATGCCTGACATCCTACCTGGAATGTGGTAGATAGTCAATGAATGCATGTGTGAAAAAACAAACACACTCCCTGGATTCCTATGCCCACTCATTGGAGAGATAGGACAGCTGTCTGGACAAAACCTGAATTACATCATCCTTTTGGACTTTGAGTCTTGGGTTCTCCATCTGCACTCATAGGGCCTATTTACAGCTAATTCAGCATTGCCATTTCCAGACTCACAGGCAAGCATGTGCCTTACAAGGGTCTGTGATTCACTCACCCTTTTATCCAAGATGACTGCCCCAGCCCCCTACCACTACTGCTTGATAGTGAGTGGAAACATAAACCCAGACACCCCCTCAGGATATGAGCTACCAGAAGCTAGATGGGGCATTGGGGTCCCAGATAAATGGTCTGATACTCAGGCCAGGATGCCAAACAGAAACCCCATCATAAGAACTGACCCCTACAGTGGCCAAAAGAAGATATGGACTTGATGGGGATATGGTTGCCCATAACGCATATCAGACACTTGATCCACGACAGAAAGCCCTAGATCCCATGATATGGAGGTCTGATCCCCTGGTCAGAATTGGTTCAAGTACTGGCTAGGACTAAGCCTCCATGTGAGAGGGCTTGAGAAAGATAGGGTTGGCAAAGAAAGCTCTAGTGCATTAATACACATGTTCTCATTTTCTGTATGATTTGGGCGAAGCCCCCCTCCCCTTGCACACATTTCCTTGACATTTCACGCTACCTTATTGTGCCCATCCTACTCCATTAAAACCACCCTGGTTTTGTCCTCATAAATATGGTGAAGGGGTTGTAGGGAGAGCACATAATTGATCACCCAGTCCTACAGCTTTGCCAAAGCACACTTCTATTTCTTTTAAGTTTACTTTTTAACCTTACTGATATATTTTCAAATCTAGAAAAAAAGAAGTCAATACTGGGTATCAGAAGAGGTTACTTGAATATTTCAGTATTCACAATCTGTACAGCACAGAAGGCTGGAGATTTTGACGTGATCACTAGTTAGCCAAGTGACCTTAAGGATGTCAATGAACTCTTCTGGGCCTCATTTTTCCTGCGTCAAATGGGCCTGTTTTGACGTAAAAAGAAAAGAATACATGTGATCTAAAAGTGCTCCAAAAAAAGGAAAAATCCTATACAAATATGTGAGATTTTAAAATTATTATAGTTCTAAATTATATAAAAGTAAGTCTATTTGGGATGAATCCGATTATAACGTTCTCATTGTAGGAGCAAGGTGGGTGCCTGGAGAGACAGATTAGGGAACATTGTTTGGGTGTTTTCAAAAGCTGCCTTATTCATTATCTGTGACAATAATAGATTTCTTTAGGACTAGAATAACTTCTCATGTTAAAGATTTTTGTTTTGATACCAGATGCAAGGATAAGACACAGAAGCAGTCAGTGCGCAAGGTTGAAGCAATGCTGACTGCCTAGCTACTTCTGAATATTTTTAGCTCAGCTCTCCCATTTTCAAAGTATCTGCACACAAGAAGTACAGATATATTACAGACTCAGAGAATGGCTTCAGAAATAATCAAAGCATCACACGCAGTATCAAGAACAATTTAGAGATGCTCTCACAGGGGCACAGACAGTGTTTTATGAGCAAATAAAAAAACACAAATGCCAAAAATATTGATGTTGTGTCAAAAAGAGCTTTTCCCTGAATAAATGGATGTTGCAGAGTAACACCACATAATTCAGGGACAAAGCCCTCTCTTCTAACACAGTCTTAGACCTCTTTTGTAGTGGTTTCTCATCATTCATTTAGCAATATTTATTGAAAGGCTTCTAGGATCCAAACACTGTTCTAGGTATTGAGAATTCATCAGTGCACAAGACAGTCTACCCTCATGAAGCTTATATTCTTGTAGGAGAGACAAACAAGCAAACAAATGTTTGCTATAATGTTATGTAGAGATAAATGCTGTTTTAAAATATAGCAGAGCAAGGAAGTAGAATAAGGGGTGTTATCTTTGAAAAGGGAGTCACTCTGAAAAAGTGATATTTGAACAAAAGAAGTGACAGTGAGCCATGTGAGGGGGTCGTATCTGACAAATATAAACATTTCATCTCAAAACAAAACAGAGATGATGAACACATCTCTCTCTCTCTCACACACACACACACACACACACAAAGATTGACCATAGATACGCTATCATTACCAAAGTTAGCTAAAAAGTCTTCAAAATGTGTTTGCAGGTTGTCCTCATTGTCTTGTACCTCTGCCATCACCATGGAAGAGCTTTCCCTGGGCAGCTGCTGCCCCTCCTGCATGGGTCCTAGGATGAAATCACATGGAGGCCACCTGAGTCTCACCTGCAAGGAGGAAGCCAGACCGGACCATGAAGACAAACCCAGCCTGGATCGCCTAAACCTCAGCCAGCCCACAGATGTGCTAGTAGGAAAAATAAATGACTGTTGTCACTGGTTGGGGGGGGGGGGGGGGCTTGATACTCAGCACTAGCCAACTCTTAAGAATATGCCAGACAGTGGCACGATGGTGATGAGTCCTAAGATATAAAGCAAAAGAAAGAATCACAGCAGAAAGTATTCAATGGGGACACAATTTATTGAGGACAATCAGAATTGGTCTCGTTGAGAAGGTAAGATGGGAGTAAGATCTGAAGGAAATGAAGAAACAAGCCACTCAGATTTCCCCAGAAGAAGCACTGAAAGGGGAAGGAAAAGCACATGAAAAGTACTTGAGGCAGGAGTGTGCCCGGCAAGCTCCTAAAAAGCAAGGAAGTTAGAGTAGCCAGAAGGAGTAAGCATGGGGCAAAGCAGTAGGAGATAAAGTCAGGGAGAAATGGGGCCTTTTAGGTCCCAGAGGTAGATCTGAAGCAGAGGAGTGGCATTGTCTGACTTAACCTGGAAAGGATCACGCCATCTCCTGTGCTGTGAACAGGGTGTTAGGGAGTTAAGTGGAAGCTGGGAATTGGTTGGGAACTATTACAATAAGCCAAGGAGGAAATTGCAGTGATTTGAATGAGGATAGCAGAAATGGAGATAGTGGCAAGCGGTCAGGTTTGGGATGTGGTGTGAATGTAAAGCCAATGAGATTGCAGTTGTAAATAATATGGAATGTGAGAGAGAGATTTCGGGGGTGACTCCAAACCAAGGTTTTAGTCCTGAGCAAACAGAAGGCTAGAATTAGCATTTACTAGGAGGGGAAAGACTGTAAAAGGAGCAAGTTTGGGAGAAGGATTTCAGCACCTTGGGTTGATCACATTAAATTTGAAGTATCCATTAGTCATCCAGTGGGATGTCATGAAGATAAGTTGACGTTTGAATGGAAATACTAAGTGGAGAGTCATCGGGATATGGATTTTTTTTTTTCTCATGCCAATGAAGATCTAAGAGATCTTTTACAAGGAAGGAGAGACCAAAATGGAAAGCTGAAATCTTCGAGAACTAAACCACTCAATTTCTGTAAGCTGTTCTCCAGGCCACATGTCAAATAGTTAAAATGGAGCTCAGTTTAGCTCTCTCTTCTCCCTGACTATGCATTGCTGTGGGTTTACCTCTCCTTTGCCACACTTTGATGAGTTTCCACCTGGTCAGCAGGACAAAACCCAAAGCTCTGAGGGCTTTATGTGCTGGTGAGAGACATGCACTATTCTGACTTCCCCTGCCTTATTAATTAGGGCTGATACACTGGGAGTGTGGAATTATATTGAGAAAAAGGACAACACTACCTCAGCATGTCTAGAGCTGGGGAGAGGGATAGTGGGTTCCATGACTATGTAGACCACCCTGAACGGGAGCTGCCTCCTCAGTGTCTAGGTGCAGTATGCTCTGGCTTCACCTGTTAAAATCCTATAATGGAACAGAGTGCAGAAAACCAATACATAAAGCAACCTTGTCCTATCTCAAAGAGTGACACTCCTGTGCTGAGCTGAGACACCAAACTTAGAGGAGAAATTGACAGAGAAGATATAAGTGGCCAACCTATGGCATCAAATGATAACTTCAAAATAAATGCTCACAGGATTGTAAAATCACCACAAACACAATTGTTCAATACCCTAAAGCAAGTTTTAAAACCTGATTCCCTTTTGCTGCCATTATATAGCCAAGAAACTTTAGCCTCATAAATTTAAAAATGTATAATTTAGTTTTAAAGAAACTTTGTGACCTAGTAAACTAACAAGGTCTGCTGGGAGCAAAAACTGAAATTTAGATGATCAAAAGTGAGCTCCAAACTTGGGCTCAGAATGAGGACGAGGGACCTAAAGTCCACTAAGGTAATATAAGCCACCAAGTGGACTGACTCAGAAAAGAAAGGTCTGCGTCACATTGAAGAGTCATGTGAGAAAGATGCTCAAGCCAGATTGGGAATCACAGCTGAGTATCCTCTTCACAAACCTTTAATGCTATTATATACTGGATGGTGTGTCCATTTCCCTTTCACTTTGAGACAAATAGCCTTAAAGTTTCATGGCTGCATTCATACACTGTGCCATTTTACCACTCCTAAATGATGATGGAATCCTTAAAGGTGCAGCGCAGCAACGAGTGAAGCCGAGGCTTCTGGGTGGCTTAGCATTTCTGGTGTACCGGGGGAGTTAAGGACTGTCTAAGCAGATACACGGTAGCAGGGCTGCAGGACTACAGGTCCAGTGTGCAATGGCCACAGCACAGGAGGTCCAGTCCGTCTTTGCACCTTTGTCTCTACAAAATTAAACGCAAGTAGAGGAGAGTCACAAAGGCAGACAAGCAAACCCAGAACTTTCACTCTCTGAAGCATCTTGCAGGGGTTCTTTCTCTTCCCTGGCCAACAGAGCAGGAGAACTATGGGATGGGAAAGGCAAATAAAGGTGATAATTGAGATGGTTCTTACAGGACGAAGGGAATTTTGAGAGGAAGAGAAGAAGACAGAACAAGGCCCAGCCAGTGAAAACACAGGGACACAGAGATCAGTTGAACAAGGGGAGACTTTTCTGGAAAAGGCTGACCTCAAAAAGCAGAGAGCAAAATTACTTTCCTTTATTTTTCTTTTCAGACAAAAATGTACCGGGTAAACTCTATCATGTGCCAGATCACGTGCTGTGTCTACATGGCTATTGTCCCCACTGGACATATGAAGCACTGGAATTTTTATCCATTCTTACTGCCTTGTCCTGAGCACATGCATCAAAACTGTCTCTTGGAGGAGAGAAGAGAGGAAGGGAAGAATGAATTATAGACAGGATTTCTGATTGGTAAGATGATTGAATTAATTGAAGTGGTATTCATTCAAATCACATCAACC